GCGCCCTCCGCCCCCAGCCCTGCTGTGCAGCTGGCACCTGCCCCACCCCCCATTGGCCACATCACAGTGCACCCTGCCACCCTCAACCATGTGGCCCACCTCGGCTCCCAGCTGCCCTTGTACCCACAGCCTGTGGCAGTGAGCCAGCCTGTGGCAGTGAGCCACATCGCTCACACCCTTTCGCACCAGCAAGTGAATGGCACAGCCGGGCTGGGGCCTCCAACCACTGTCATGGCAAAGCCGGCTGTGGGGGCCCAGGTGGTGCACCACCCCCAGCTGGTGGGCCAAACAGTGCTCAACCCTGTGACTATGGTCACCATGCCCTCCTTTCCTGTCAGCACACTCAAGCTGGCTTGAGGATGAGGCCACTTAGGCCCCCAGTGGGGGCAGGGAAGAGGGATCTGACTGCCCCTCTCCCACCCACCAGCTCCACACATTCCAGCCAGGCCCGCCCCACCCACACCACCCCCAGGCCTCCTAGGGGAAGGGGGTGCAGAGACTCTGAGCCAGGGGAGGGGCCCTCCAGGGAGTTGGGTGCAGGAAGGAAGTTGTCCGGCTGCACTAGGACTTGGTAGACATGAGGACGCTTTGGTGGACATGCTTGCCTGCCCAGCCTGGTGCCACTCCTGCCTCCTTACCTTGTCCACCCCCTGACGTCTACGGCGCTGTAGCTGTTCTCTGGCTTCTCCTTCCCCAGCCTGCCTTCCTGTGCTGTTGCTGCTATTGCTCTGTCTGGTGAGGTGGCCGAGCTTCCTGGCCTCCCCTCCCCAGCCTCAGAGTCCTCTGGGACTTCTGTAGAGGAACCAGAGCCCCAGAAAAATGAGGAATGGGTGGTGAGGGGCCCAGCTTTGAGTACAGGTGATAGATCCTAAGAACTGGAGTCGGGCTAGGACAGGTAAATGCCTGGGCCTGGCTCTCTGATCCACCTGTAGTCACTGTGATTGGTTACAGTAGAAACTGTTTAAATGAGTCTCAATCAACAATAAATAAAATGCAGGCTGTTGCCAAGTTTCCCACACCTGCCCCTGGGCTTCTGACCTCTGAAGAGTAGGCTGAGCTTAGGACTGGAGAGGTGAGGCCAGCAGTCCTGCCTCCTACCCACAAGGCCTGGGAGGAACTCCAACCTTGGGCATGATGCTCACTGTCCTGGTTCCTTGCTCTGTCCAGTGCTTCTCCAGGCCTCTGGGTTTAGGTACTGCCTTCAGCTTGGAAAGCACGGACCAGCAGCAGCTCTAGGAGTTAAGCCCCATTGCTGAGGGAGGTATCAATGAGCTGAAACCCTGGGGCTCTTCCCATCTCCCTCTTTCAGTGGCAATTCTGAGGCCCCTTCCTGGTGGGTGCTGCACTGTCCACTGGAAAGGGCCCTTGTTGGGCTAAGACAAGGCTCATCAGGACTGGGAAGAGAGGGTCCTGTGCTTAGGGATGCTGTGTCTCCTGCCTCTGCTTTTGCAGACTGCTTTGGCTTCTCTTTTTAAGTGGATATTTATTACAAGTGGCCTTGTGTCAGACACTCAGTTACACGTGTGCACATTCAGCTCCCCACTCAACACTCACCAATGGCCTTTCAGTGTGGAGCAGGAAGCAAGTGTCCCTAGGTGTGAAGTTTGCACTGAGGCAAGTCTGAGGGGCTAGAAGGAAGGCTCAGGGTCCTTCAGATGACATGAGCAGGGCATTGATGCCAGTGAAGGTCTTGAATCATTCTTCTCCCTTGAAATGACTCCTCAGATGCTTCAGAACTCACAGGTCCTTCTGGCCCCAAAAGCCTCCCAGGGCACTTTTGTTATTTGTCTCCTAGGCTGGGGAATGGTGGCTAGGACCAGGTCTCTACCCCAGCATAAAAATCCCAGCCCTCAAATTGGCTGCCGTCCTGTGGCTGCCGTCACCCTCTACCCACACCTGAACTTTGTGGGCCACCTCCACTCTCTGCTTTGTGTTGTGACGAAGAGCAGAGTATGGTATTGGCACAGTCAGACCACTTGATGAACTTGCCCCCACCTCTTTTGCCCCTCTCTGTCTTGAGGCCAGTTCTAGAGTTCACACCATCGTGTTGGCTTGCAGGCCTGCACAGCTACCTCATCATCCACCCCTCCCCCCACCCCCGCCAGGGGTTCCTCCAGATCTAGTGCCGCCGAATGACAATGTCCAGATTGGTGATGATGGGTGTTGTTGCTGTTTTTGTTGTTTGTGACTGCTGTGTGCCCGAATGGGCAGCCACCTCCCAGCCCTCTCTTGGGCGTCTCCCCTTTGAGAGCTGTTAGGACCACATCAGTCCTCACCTTGTGGGACCGCCTGGCCCTTCCCTTCCTATCCCTTCCAGCCTGGGACACACACACACACATACACACACACCTTACCTCTCATGCGTGTTTTACCTGTGCTGTTTTGAGTGGCTCACTGCCTGGGATCTTTACCTCGGGGAGGAAAAGGGAGGAAGAGTGGTTCCCTGGGGGCCAAAGAAGGGCAGAGAATGCCTGGAGGGGAGTTGGGTCACCATAGCCTCTCTCTAGGAACAGCTGCTTCTCCCCCCAATCCCAGGGTCCCACTCTCAATCCCCAAAGAGGTGGCCCTTGTTTACAGTGAGGACTCGGTCACTGTGTCTCTGTTTCCTGAAATATGAATTGTAGCGACCCCAGACTGTAGAGATTTTTATGTGTTTGGGTACATCTGCTGTGTGGGAAAAAAAAAAAAAGAAAAAACTACAAAAACCCTAATTTTGTACATATTGTATTTTTACTATTGAACTGTATTCTAGTGGCTGTTCATGCTCCGAGACTTTAGGTATTGAGACATGAATACTACCCATGTAATAAGCACTTGCCTGGAATAAAATATAAAATGGAAATAAATCTGCACTGAAATCTGAGATGGAGCTGCCAGCCTGCAGCATCTGGGTCATTTCATTCCAAGAGGGCGAGGCCAACAGGGACCTGTTAGCTGGAAGCAGCAACAGGAGGCTCTCCGAAGGCTGAGGCAGGAGGATGAAGGAAGTTGGGTGATGGCCTGAGTAACATAATTAAGACCCTGGTAATGGAGTTCCAGAGGTGGCTCAGCAGACAGCATTTGCTGTTCTCCCAGAGGACCCAGGTTGGGTCTCTGACACTGACATCAACCGGCTCACAGCTGCCTGTGGCTCCAGTTCCAGGGGCTCTGACTCCCTCTTGTGGCCTCCATGGGCACCTGTATGTATGTGACAGATACTCACACATGGATAAGCAGGCAAATGTAAATTAAAAAAAAAAAATCTTTAAACAGCTTGTTAAGGGCACTGACCGCTCTTCTTGAGGAACTAACTTAGTGCCAGCTCCGCTCAGAACTGTAACTGCGGGGTATCTGATGCCCTTTTCTGGCTTCTGTGCAGGCACACAGGAGGTACAGACACACATGCTGGTAAAACACATACCCCTTAACAAAGCATGCTGAGTATGGTATGGTCTAGCATTCCTCTGCAGGGACTAGAGGTGTGCACTAGAGGTAGAGGCAGGTGGATCTATGAGTTTGAGTCAGCCTGGTCTACAAAGTGAGTTCAGGCCAGCCAGAGCTACATAGACCCTGTCCTAAAAGACAACAACAACAAAATAAACAAGGGAATGGTCTGTCCTTACCCCAAGGTGTTTATTTGTTCATTTTAGGACACAAGGCGTCTCTCTGTAGCCTTGGCTGTCCTGGATGTCTCTCTGTAGGCCAGGCTGGCCTCAAACTTAAAGAGATCTGTCTGCCTCTGCCTGCTGAGTGCTGGAAGGCAGAGGCCCAGATACCCTGAGATGTTTGGGGAGCATCCACTAGACAATTTCAGGAAGGATCTGGCTTCACAATCGTGTCCCCATGCCTCAAACTCTTAGACTATAGCTCTAGATCTTCCTTGTGTTTACACAAGGCTGTATATTTCCTCAGTATTTCAAAACATCATCTTGTTTCATTGTTGAACAGCCCAGCAGAGTAAATCAGGTAAGACCTAGTCCTTTTGAGCAGATTAGAAATGGCCAGTGACTTGTTCAAGTCCAGCAGTTGCAGCTCGCTGCTTAGACCTACAACTCTGAGCTCTGTTCACTTGCCTCAGTAAATCTAACCTTAGCTTCAGGCACCTCTGACCTAGCCTTTGGGAATAGAGTGGGCCATAGATAGCAAAGGCTATTCCCCAGGGCCTGGGTACAGATGGTGAGGGGCTTCCAAAGCCACTGACAATTTATTCCACTCTGTGAAGCTGGATGAGGTTGGAGGTCAGAATTCAGGGAGGCAAGTTGGGGAATGAGATGAGGGAGCTAGTAGCTGTGCCAGGCGTGGGTTAGGCAGGCTTCTCCCTGGTTACATCCCTAGGTTTCCTTCCTAGGAAAGTGGGGGAGTGGTTACCCTCAGGAAGACAGTGCTGGTTATAAATGACCTAGATTCCTGTTTTCTGGAGGTTCAGTGCTAAGAAATGTCAGTTCCAATCTTCCACTGCCAGCCTCATCCGCCTTCTGACTCAAGAAGTGTGGGCGCTCTCTACTGGTGGCATCGGGAAGAGCTTTGTCTTGGCCACTGGTATAGTGGGTGAAAGGCTAGGGTGAGGGTTAACACTTGGAGAGTGCTCACTCAGTCTTGGTACTGGGCACTGGGGACGGGATCCAGCTCTTCCCTGGGCATTTCACCTGGTACTTGGGGCTGCAGCTTCAGAATGAGCAGCAAGCCACTTCATTTCATATACTCAGAGCCCCTGCTCTAGAAGAGTACTCACCAGTGAGGCTGTGTCCAGGAAGCTCATTGTACCAGAAGGCTGGCCCAACTCTCCAGAGACCCCTTTTGGCCAGAGTCCCCTATAGTGTCTACATGCCCAGCTGGCAGTCTAAGTGGTGCAGGAAGGGTTGGTTTGCCAGACCTTTGGAGAAGGTGGTTGTAGCAGGATTCAACAATCACCCAGACTGTAGACCTGCTAGGGAGGTGAGGAGTGTTTCCCTAGGGGCTTATCAAGTCCGCTTGTACAAGCTTCATGTGTCCCAGTTTTCCTTGGCTAGCTTTGGCCATTAGCCTGTGTTCTGTCTTAACAGCTGGGCCAGACTACTAGTGCTGTGGACTAGAACCCTTGGCTTTTGACAAGCTGGCAGCAGACCATAGGGCTCAGAAAGCAGGACTGGTTGACAGGGAGCTGTTAAAAGATATGACCAGAAGCACTCTGGTTTAGAATTCTGGGGTAGGGAAGGGCAGGACCCAAGTTCTAACCAGGCCCTTTTCATGCCTTTTCAGGAGCTGTACCTCCAGCCACTTCCCCCAGATGCCAGCCTGAGCCAGGCATCTCAGAGATCTGCTCAGTAGATAGCAAGGGGGCTGTGAGAGCTGAAGGCTCTCATTAAGG